GGGCGCGGCGCCAGGAGCCCAGTGTTTGGTGGCGGCGGCGACCACGTGCTTCCGCCCGGCGGCCCCGCCCCGGCCGGGGTGTGGCCTATCGCCAGGGGGCAGCTGGGGCCACGCCCTCCTGGTCCGGGCCCGATCCCCTGGCGCTGCCCTGCGGGGTTCCTTCTGCAGCGCCAAAAATGCGCATTTCAAAGTGAATCGTGGCGCATGCAAGCGAGGCAACCTAGGGTCTGCAGCTGCCCCTCGGACGGAGCAGCGGGCAGCGCTGCGTGGACCGCAGGCTGAAGAGGGCGCCCGGACACAGACCTTCCCCCCCACCCCCCAGCTGGGGCTCCCCTTCCCTTCCCCCAACTGAAAAGGAACTTTTCAGGCAGAAGGGAGACAGTGACTACACTGTCCTCAGAGGACAGGACTGTCTCCGTCAAAGAAAAAATTATTATAAATAAATCAAAACAGTAAAGAGATGCAGCATTTCTTGAACAGGGAATGGGGTGTCGTGGGCAGGAGGGGTGCAGAGATACAATTTAACCCAGCATCTCTTAATAGTGTAAGTAGCTTTTTTTTTTTTTATTTTTATTTAACCCAGCATCTCTTAATAGTGTAAGTAGCTTTTTTTTTTTTTATAGCTTCATTAGTATTGTGTACATGTTATCTGAGGCGACATGGTTTCCTTCCAATCCATGTGATTCAGGACTTCAAGTATCCCATTGACTAGATAGAGTGACAGTGTCTTTCCAATATTAGGGAAAAATATTAGGACAAGCATTCACGTTTTCACTCCTGCAAATATATCAATGATTGCTTGTGTTCATCAGACTGAGAACATCTCTTTTATTGCTGTTCATTGACAATTTTTGGACAACACACCGGAATACTACTAAGCTGTGAAAAAGCTGAAATCTTGCCATTTGCAATAAAGAGCATGGATCTAGAGGTATGTTGTTCAAGCAAAGACTAGGAAGCAGGGGAACAAGTCAAGGCTTCCGGGACAACCCTGAATGAATGGGTCAGGATTTAGATTACTGGGTGCATGACTCTTTCACCCAGGAGCTACTGAGAGACCATATCTGGGCTCTCCTGCCACCACTGTGATGTGGCACCTTCCATTGACTCGTCCTCCTTTCCTATCTCACTCTCCCTCCTCCTCACTTGGCTACCTGGAATCATCCAGGTAGCCAAAGTTCCTTCCCGAACTTTATCTTTGTGTCTGCTTTTGAGACAACCCAAATTCAATATGAGATGTCATATGACGATTTTTTAGTTTTGATGCGTGAGAAATCTGGCTTGGTCTTTCAATCGCTTCAGAAGCTTCTGCTTTATGGATGGAGCCTCCACGATCATACAGGCTTTGCTGGCTGGGTCTTGGGCCCAGGTGCTCAGATAGAAAGGACTTTCAGACTTGTATTGTGCAGTACCAGACTTCTCTTAACTAAAGAGCCATGATGTTGAGCAAAGGATGTTGGTCCTTTCTTTCTTTGGAAAAAGAAACTTTTTCAAGTTTTATGCTAGGGGATCCTTAAAAGATAATATTCCTTGGTACAAGTGGCAGGCTTTCATCTTTTTGATAGCCAAGTAATATTCCACCGTGTCTATGGAGCACATTTTCTTTATATATTCACCTCCTGTTGGGCTCTTAGATTGTTTCTGTATCTTAGCTACTGTGAATAGCGCTGCAATAAACTCAGATGTCCATGTAGATCTCTTGGAATCAGCATTCATATGTTTTTCAAGTCAATATTCAGAAGTGGGGTAAGGGGCTTTTATGGAATGTCTACTTTTAATTGTTTAAGAAATCTCCACACTGCTTTTCAGAATGGCTATATGAATATTCCTGTCTTCCAACAGCTGGTTGAGGGCTCCCTTCTCCTCAAAGCCTTTCCAATGTTGTTTCTTGCAAAGGGATTTCTTCTCTCTACTAAAGACAAACTTGAGGGTACAGATTCTACATCCAACATAAGAGTATGCTTTAAATAAATTTGACTGCAAAAAAAAATGTATATTCAACATCTTGGTATGTTTCAAATAAATGATTGCAAACCAGATGGATACTCAGTGATATGAACTGAAGCACAAGAAAAAGAACCCAAAACTTGTTAGAAGCTTTTGGGTAAAATGGTGGTGGGAAGTTCACAGGGATTGCAAATGAGATGGAAAAAAATGTGCAAACG